AGTTAACAGCATATGTCAGAAATTACAATTTGAGAATCCCGCAGAGACGCAGAGTATGAATCTCAAAGTTTACAGTCAAATTGCAGAACTGAAGCGACGCCACGAAAGTTTATTACAGCCCGGTCTTGGGTGCTGCAGGATAGCCAGAGCTGAGCTGAACCTCAAACCAGACGCCAGATCAGTTGTTAGACCAAAACGTTCAGTGCCGTACGCAACACAACCAATAGTGGAGTCTGAGTTTAATCGGTTGCAGTCGGAAGGCACCATCTAGCGTGTAGATTACTCAGGATGGGCGGCACCCATCGTCGTGAGAAAGAAAAGAAACGACCAGGTACGTGTTTGTGCTGACTTTTCAACCGCTTTAAATTCCGTTTGAGAACCACCAGTACCCTTTGGCTATACCTGAAGATTTGTTCACTAAGCTTAACTGTGGAAACTGGCTTGCGAAACTCGATCTAGCTGATGTTTACAAGTTCCAGTAGCCGAGAACTGCAGAACAGTACTGACGGTCAACACGCATCTGGGTCTTTTCCAGTACAATCGGTTGCCAATCGGTGTGAAAACTGCTCCCGCCATTTTGCAACAACTCATGGATACGCTACTGAACGATATCCCTAGGGTCGCAGTATGCCTGCATGACGCATTGATTATGGGGTAGGTGCTGTCATTGCTCACGTGCTCCCAGGAGGAGAAGAGAAGGCCATTGCGCACGTAACACGGTCGCTGACAGTAGCGGAGAAAAATTATAGCCAGATTGAGAAGGAAGTGTTGGCGATTGTTTTCGCAGTGGAACGGTTTCATAAAATGCTATACGGTAGACATTGCAAACTGATCACGGACCACAAACCTCTACTCTCGATCTTCGGACCAAAGAAGGGTATTCCTGTTTTCACAGCAAGTCGGTTACAGAGATGGGCAATCGTACTGCTGGCTTACGATTTCAGTACACAATATCGATCTACACAACAACTCGGCCAAGCTGACGCTCTATCTCGCCTCCTCAGTTCCCACTTGAAGGAAAACGATGACTGCGTCATTGCATCTGTCAAATTTGAGTCGGACGTTCAGCGCATCCTGCTTGACAGTATAAGGAAGGTGCCAGTAACGTCGGACACGATTCGTGCAGAGACGGCTCAAGACGATATGTTGGTGAAAGTGATAGGGTTTGTGCAGTCCAGTTGGCCTAATGTCAGAATTTCAAGTGACTTACAACCTTTCTTTAATCCACGCGGATCCCTTTCGATCCTTTAAAATTGTCTAATGTTCGGAGACCGAGTCGTGGTACCAAGGAAGTTGCGGAAGCGAATACTATAGCAGTTTCATTCAGGACATCCGGGAACCAGCCGAATGAAGGCACTGTCGCGAAGTTTTGTGCATTGGCTTCAAATAGATGCAGAAATCGAGCAGTTCTGCCAGAGTTGTGAATCTTGTCAACAAGCGGCAAAAGCACATCCGAAATGTTCGTGGCACCCTTGGCCCGAGTCGAAGAAGCCCTGGCAGAGAACCCGCTTGGATTATGCGGGACCAATCAACGGTCAATCATATTTGATTTTCGTTGATTCCTACACAAAATGTCCCGACATGATTCCGATGCAAAATCCCATCGCCCAACACACTATCAATGAGCTGAACAAACTGTTCCAGTATTTTGGCACCCCGGAGATGCTGGTTACAGACAACGGAGCCCAGTTCACCTCAACGCTGTTCCAAGAATTTTGCATGCAAAACGGAATCCAGCACAAGTTTTCACCGCCGTACCATCCACAATCGAATGGGCAAGCCGAACGGTTTCTAGATACCTTTAAACGTGCTCTTCTCAAAGCGGAAGGAACGAGGGTGTCACGAGATGTAATTCAGCCGTTTTTGAGAATGTATCGAAACACTCCGAATCAAAACACACCGGAGGATAAATCTTTTTCTGATTGTCTATTTGGACGAAAAATTAGAACGACATTTGATAGCCTGATTCCCAGAAATGTTGGAAAACGCAAAGGACAACCAAGTGAGGGGCAGGATAACAGGCTTCGCACGTTCAAGATTGGCGACTTGGTGTATGCACGAAACTTCCAGACCCCGGAAAGATGGGTTAGCGGAACGGTTAGTGGAAAGAGGGGTAAAGTTATTTATGAGATAATGGTCGGAAAGGACAAGTGGACCAGACACATCAATCATCTACGACAGCGGCATGGCAAAACTCAAAGACATCAAGAACCAGCGGCACCACAGTGGGACATACTACTGGATACATTTGGTTTAGAAAACAGAACTGATCTCCAAAGCGGAACACAGCCGGTCGCACAGACGCCACACGACGTGACATGCAGGCCAAGTCGAAGAAGAAGGCAACCGCGATGGCTACAAGTGGACCCCAGGGTAAAAAGCTACGACCAAGCCCAAGTGCGGAAAATAGGTAGGAGCAATCAATTCAAAGGGGGAGGTAATAGAGAGGTAAGCGGAGCCAATGTCCAGATACGAGGTCGCGCACAGGCTTACCGCGGAGCACGTGAGCTGTCTGCTGCATGCGAAGGTCACCAGCACGAGCGTGGAACGACCTTCGACTGTTTTGCCAAATTTGGGAATCGGGTGCAAACTGATTGGCCAGCAAATACAAGCCCGAGTCAACGGAGGCGAACCATTCTGCCAAATATGGAAAATCCGTGGGACGGAATTAACTCACATTGGCTGAGAGCCAAACGCTTCCAAAATTAGTATGTTTCGTTCACCAATAAATAGAACTGACCTATCGTGTAGAATAGACTCCCTGTTTACCGAGCCTTGGCCTTCTGTATCCCGTCGGTTGGTTGGGCGCGTGACTGAGCAATCAGGCGGTCGTAGTCTCGCAGGCGCAGAATAGCAGCAGTGCGAAGGCAGCTTTACCATAGAGTCTGTTTTATGGAGTGAGGATCCATGCTCACTGAGACGGAGTTTTTCAGGCCTCTAACCATTCACCAATTTGGCATAAGTGGCTCTGAAGGTGCAAAAGCACCATTCAGCATAACCCAGTAGATCGCTGAGGCACGAAAAGCATCGCATCACCTTAAGATCCAGTCTAGTCGTGATGGACTCTAACCAGTTAGTTAGGATCCACGAAATGCCCGAGGGAAATACCATGCGCAATTAAATAAATCGTAGAGAAATGCTCACCATGACATTGATTGAAATTCAATGCACACTGAGAAATATGCAAGACTAATACGGCGACAAATGCTCCTTTATGCTACATGCCAGGCAAAAATTGTCACGGCTGATGTGAGTTACACCCAAGCTAAGTCTTTGAAAACAGTGCACACCAACCCGGCCCAGTCGATTGTTGTTTTATGGTGCTCTTATACTGATTCATCAAAACAGCTACCTCAGAAACTGCTAGCCCGTGGCTTAAAGGATCACAAGCCTGTATTATATTCCGAGGGCGCTGGTTTGAGGCTGCGAAGAGGACCAGGTGGCCCTAGCAGTAACCTTCCCCCACGCGCGACTGTTGTTGGTTGCGCTGCAGCAAAGCGACGGTACTGCGTAATGGCGTATTGCTATACCTTTCTCTACCTCAGAACCTCAATCAACTGAACCTAAGGCTTAACAGTACTATACGTAGAGGGAGGCGATTGTCATTCATTTCATCAAGTGGGTTAGTTAAATCTTCTGAATAACGAAATAGGCAGCCCAATAGTTGACTTTGTGTCGTGGGTTCTTCAGTGGAACCGGGCTGAAGAGGAAGCTCATGACGATGGAACACCACACAACGGAATTATGTTTGAAATTCAAGTCGATAAAAATATTAGTTGCTGGTGGTCTGAGTGTTCGCTGAGCTCGGCAGTTTGGCTGCAAACGTTTCGTCACCACGCGAGGTGACATCGTCAGTGCGTGTTTATGTAGCAGAGCGGCGCGGTACGAAGCGTCACTGAGTGTGAGTGACCGATCTTCCAGTCGTCCGTCTGTTTGGATCGTTCGACGGGCATATGACCATCGAAATCGATCTCTGCTTCTTGCCTCGAAGTGTACGCGCGCGCGCCTCTTCGGTTTCCGTCATCGTTTGGCGCATTTGTCCAGCGTTCTGTTCCGTTAGATTTAGCCAACTAATTCGGTGATCTTTCATCCGTAGCACTGCATATATAGCATCTATTTCAACGCGTCGGTTTATTGAATTGTTTGTAGAATAACAGCGAACACTCAGACCGCCAACTGAACAACCTGAGTTACCAACATTTGCTTCTAGATATCAGCTGCTGATTGCATGACACTAGACACCCACGGACCAAAATGACGATTGCAACATGTGTCCGGTGGAGGACTCCGAGGGCTGCCGTGTCCTGTGAGTACGTAGATCGTAATAGACCTGGAGGCTGGAATGCAAAACAAATACCTCGCAAGTGGCTGTATGAAGTTATCATAACCACCTAGTAAGAGAGCTAAGTAAACGAAACGTGGAACTAGCTAACACCACTTGATGACAAACGGATCGAGCCTGATCCGCATGTATGGAGAAAACAAACACGGGTGGTGGCTGTAAACGAAACGGAAAGATGAAGAAAAGAGGAAACCTTAATGGACGTCTAACCGAGGTACAACGACCTCCTTACCTTAGGGAACACTACAAGATCACACAGACTTGACACAAGGGCGTGGTAGAAGCAAAAGTTAAATTGGAAGCACATTCGACACTCACCATAGAATTACTTGACTAACTCACATATTTGGTGCTTAAACAAATGAAAATCGAGAACAGTGAACAAGCTGTGAGAGATCGGGCTTGCTAATCTGAGTCAGATCTAGGGAAGATACAAGCCTTAGCCCATAAATTAACAGCACTGACGGAGCCAAGATAATCAGTTGGTTTGAGACCGTAATGTGCTCTAATTACAGACAGCTTCATTATGTTTTATCTCAGATGCATATGCATATAAGCAAAGAAGAGCCATACATGAAAACATAAATAATAGTATATATACGTAATTGTCGAAATGTAACGAATAAGTGACACTATGGCATGATTGAGGACAAGTTACTCTGATGGCTTCAGTAGCACCGCAAGTGAGAAAGATGTCGTCGATATTGGAAGGAAATTCATCCCTTTGCTCGATAAAATCAGCAACGGCTTCGCGAAGTGTTCTGATACCCAAAATGTCACTGTACGACCCTAGAAGTTTGGGAGAGATGAAGATATAGAAAGATCGAGGTAGTCTGAAAAATTAAGCATTTATTGTTATTTGTACGAATTTTGACAGGTGATGAAACAAGAAGCAGCATGTTGCCAGGAAACGTTGCATCTTTAAGCTTATAGGCTTACATCCGTAAGTCTATTCAGTCTAGTTTGCTTGGCAAATTGTTTGTAGTTTATAGTTAACCAGTCGCGCGACCGTGACAGAAACTCATGGAGCGAGAGAGAGTTTAGCAAGAACTACAGGCTAGTAAAAAACCATCACGCATTAAAAATATGGCAAGTCCACTAACAAGCTGGATAAGCTTACCGAAGAATATGCATCTGTAAGGTAACACTCATAGTGAACATGAAACATTAAATCTTCCAGTATGTTGTGACATTGGATTTTGTTCTTAACGCAAGGACGGTATCCGAAATAGAAGTATTTCGGTGTTGTTCCTGCCAACACTGACACACCAAATCCAACTTTGGATTGCATTCTTGTTTGTATCTTCCAATCGACCCATTGTTTTACTGAGGGTATATCCGGTTCACTTTCAAATTCCCTGTTAGTCGCGCGCTACCTAGCTCTGTGCTCCTACTAATTTGCTCCCAGTTGCTTAGACTTCTGCACAATACACGTTCGGTCCTGAAACGTTCTCACTTCTAAACAATTGGTATCCGTATCCGGTATCCGTACTGGTTCTCGTCGTAACCAGTATCTGAGTTCCGCTGAACAAGCCATAAGCCAAAGCGCACTCTTAGAAAAAGAGATTTTGTCAAAAACTCATATACGCTGTCATATATATCAGACACAGGTATATGGAGGTTCATGTCTTGCAAGGAGATGAAAGTCATATTTGGCTAACCACAATGGTGATAAATAACGGTAGATAAGTGCAACTTCACTGTGTGGCTGAGTGTGTATGCATGGGTAGCCATAGGTGTGCGCATAGTTTGCTTGAAATTCAGACAAAAACAGTAACCAACGTTGAAAACAGAGAAAGCGTAGAAAGATGCAAACCAACAGTCAAGGATATGCTGAATGTCCGCGTTCCCAACTAAGCAAGGATAATGCTGTTAATACGAGACTAGTCACTGTCGATGCATGGCACACATTCATCGGAGGTATATATATGCCAAATATTAGGCACATGGGTGAGGCTTGTCGGTAGTGTTGGTGACTTGACAATTTGATTCTCGTAGCTGCACTAGAAATATGAGTGAATGATGTAACGTTACGTATTATGGGTTTTTGATAAATATGCAAGGTATCTTTGTGCACAGCGCGAATGCTGACTGAAGGGTTTCAGGTCGGACACGGCTACCCCAACTGGGTTCAAGAAGCACTACTCGCTGTCGCAAGATAAAATGCCACAGTGAGGATGACAAGTGTTAAGACTAGTTTGTGGCCAAGAGTCAAACCTGAACGTCTGATGTGTTCTCAAAGCTATACATGAGTCGGCGGCCAGCAGACATAGAACCTGCGTGAATCAGCTTCTTACTTAAGTAAGTCTTCTGCCGAACCATCCACTGGTACATAAGTTATCCTTTTACTTCTTAGGTCAGGAAATTGCAAAGCGAACTAAACCACTCAAGCAACCGAAGCGGATGTCATCGGGATCTCCCAAAAGCGTCACGTGCAGGGTAAGTGACCGTCATGCTATGTGCAGTGTGGCACTGCACCAAATATGGAGCGGGCTAATGAAATAGCATCGGTTCTCATTTGCTGGTATGTATGGTATCGTATGGGACGGGAAATTAGCTAATTGGGCGTCTTACAAACTGCAGACTTGTGCAGCCCCTGTAAAAGCGCGATTACCATCCGAGTCGTTTCGCATGAGTGACACAAGCGGTTCCGGTAAATATCACCACCTTTTGATGTGTTCGATGGTAGGTTGTACAAAGTCATTACTCGTGACGAAATGGCTCATCGTAGATCGTGGGCAGTTTTGACTATATTTCTCATCTCCCGCAAAGATGTTTTGTCCAAAATGCCCAACCATGGGAAAATAAAGGAAGGTACATATTTTTTTAAAAGTAAACCAAACCAAACAAACTAGTCCGTGGTGTAGTTAGAGGTCAAGGTTTTGCGTTCGACACGAAAGCTTTCTCAGGCCAAGTGAACCAGGAGGTGATTGGTACTGCGTTCATTACGAGAAGAGACAGTAATTTCAGTTATCGAAATGCCAGCAGGATGTCAGTCACCTTACGGGTCAAAGTGTCATTTTCAGTGGCGCATTAGAGATCCCAGGTGGTTCATTGTACGAGATCTCTGCCTGCTATGGGAGTAGGAGTGGTTTGAGGTTCGCGCTCTGCCCCAGATCCGTTCGCCAACGCTCCTCAGGCTGACAAGATAAGACAGCCCACCACGCACTCGATAACTCCACTCCATCCACTGCCTACGCAGTTGTTGGCTTCGGCAATTTCCGATGCCTCAGCAGTCAGTCTTACGAGTGTGCATCGCAAACCCTTTCTAAAGATTTCGACGCTATGCGAATCAATTTCATGTCCCGTGTCTTCCTACTTGCGGGGAGTGAGTCAGTCAAATGCACCCGTGTCGAATGCACCGTTTGATCCTTCTGGTAAATGATACTTATTTTTTCTTCGTTTAATACCATTCGGATTGGCTCTGAAGTTCCCCCTTTATAAGGACAGTCAGCACAGGTTTTTGATCGGATCAATGCTGTCACAACACTTTACACTGCGAAGGTGCAGAACCATGCCGAGACATGCAGCGTTACATGTCAGTCGAATCAGTTTGCTTACATAGCCCCTGGGTCAGACCCAAAGAGGGCCATATCGTCCGCGTACATAAGGTTTGTCAGTCGGTCACCTGGTAGAACATCCAGTACCATACCTAGGTACTTCACTGATGTCATCCATCACTGTCACTAAGCTGCTTGGGGCACTGTGTAGGGATCTTCTCGTACCTGGCTCCTATGTGCCGCGAAAAAAGCGTATTATGACACCCGGGTGCATTAAGAGACAGATGGCGAGCTTTGGACCAACTATTGAGGTCATTCAGATGATTTTGCAACCTCAGAGAGCAATCGGCGTTTCGATGCTTGATATCCAGGACGATGTCGTCGGCATATTTCATTAGGGTAGCTACTGCGGGGGCTACTATTGAGTTGATGTGTAGATTCATGTGAAAGTAGTGCTTTTCACAATATTACGATCGACCTTATGGAATGGTTTCATCCACATAATTTTGTTCATAATTTGACCCTGGCGTGTCCAACTATTGTGACAACTTGAGTAGCCATCTAGATCTCTGTTTTGACATCTGCTGTCCTTGAAAATCTCTCAAAGTCCGCGCGGACAGGTTCTTCACCCCCATCTGAAGTCGCCGTGTGGACTTAAGGAGAGAGCGTTTAAAGAAAAAGACGACATCGCAGTGAGGTCTCACACCGTTCGTACCAAGGAAGAGCTACGCCGTCCGAACCAACTACATATCCAGTCTATTCTGGGGAACGGTAGCATCACACCGGTACCAAGATAAAAGCCCAACACATGTCGAGTGGCCGCTTGCTCTTCTGTTGCCTAGAAGCTTCAAGAGAAAATCATTCTTGAAATGAAGTTGTCCCAAACCCGATTGCTTGACCCCTAAAAACACTTATCGTAGTTTGAGATCTACCGTTAATGCAGTGGCCCGCCTCCTACGTTCTATACTGTTTTCACTTGACAACAGAAACAGATCAACTCGTATGTGTTTGCTTGAGTAGAACAACGCATTTTGCTGTATAAACCGCTAAATGCTGCTGAAAGATGTACTCATATAAGGAATACATCTTTCCATGATCAATTTGTTGAGTGCTTATTTTACTAGACGCAGAAGCGTAACATAACAGAGGCGACAGGTTAGGTCCGCCCCGGGCGGCGTGTGACAGGGGCCACAATTTTAGTACGGATGGTTGCCTAATACCTAGTGCAAATTCATCAAAATTTACCCCATGACTGAAGTGGTCAAAACAAAGTATGATACTTCTTTCGTGACCTAAGATGAAATGTGTACTACAGACGTTGATATCTGGGTAAGTAAGCTGCATTGACAGCATGGAAGTAGCGGGAAAGTTTGTAATGATGATGCAGAAGAAACGCACGAAGTTAAAGCATTGGAAATGCAAGCATACTTTGCCCGCACACCAACCGATTACATGCCTTCCTGCCAGAGGACTGTTGACTGTTCATGAAATCCTTACTATGCTTGTCCGGCTCGGAGTCACTGTATTGCGGCATGTCCAGGATGAATTCCTTAAGTAGTGCTACCTGGAACGAATTCAAATCTGTGGCTAAGAAGCTAACACGAACTGTTTTCTTTCGGGATTTGAGAAACTGCGAGCAGAGATTGCGAACACCGATGGTGTGTTCTCCTTCAGAAGAGGCCGTGTTTGGTTTCGGCTGCAGGATGTCTTCAACGGGTTAGTCTAGTTTTTCGACTGGTGGAAAGTAAATCTAAAAGCGTGTGAACACGAATCCAGTAAATCGCATGCTAATGATCTGGCTAGTTAAATGAAAGGCAATTAACCAAATGGAGCAAGCAGTTGTAGAAAAGTGGTTGCGTGAAATTTTAGCTGGAATACTTAATATCGTCAAGTTTCTCCTCAAGCAAGGCATGACACTGTGTGGTCATCAAGAAGACATCCAGGATGAGAAAGGAGACCACAACATAGAGGGAACTTTTCAGAATTGCACATTTGTTGACGAACATTTGGTGACAGTTCAGCTGGGAAGGAAAATCAGCACCTTTTCTTTGTCGCCGAACGTTCAAAATGAATTAGTGAGGATTTTGATAAGTCAAGTGAGAAAGAAAATCATAGATCAGGTAAAAAAAGCAAGTATGTTTGCTAAATTTTCGATAGCACTCCAGATGAGCCTCATAAAACCAGATGAATGAAAATGGAGTAATGGTAGAGGAGTCGTTTCTGAGCTTCATTCAGACCTGCAGCAAAAAGGCAGAGGAAATTTCTGGACTGGCTTTGAGAGAATCGGAG